ATTTTAATATTCCCGCGTATCCGCGCGGCGCCTTGCGGCAGACGGCGAAGTTCCGTTCGCGCTCACCTTTTTACAAAAGGTCGTAGTTGATTTCATGTGTCAAGACAACGTGTATTCTGCGTGCGTTGTAAAACCGAAGAAAATAAATTATTTAAACAAGAGAGAGCAGCAGTCTTTTCTCGACCATACCGCTTGCGACGCAACATTTCCGTGAGCACGTGTGGAAGCGTGAATCGTTCACGCAACAATACAAAACAGTAAAGTTAAAAATTTGCCGAAATAAAATTGAACAAAATTTAACTTTACAACTTAAGAATTTTATGAACAATGTTAATTTGTTCCGAATTTTATATTTAGTTTTAAAAGTAACGAATGTAAGAAGATTTTATTGTAATATGTTCCGAATTTTATAATTAATGTAAGAACTAACTACTGAAGATGACCACAACCAAATGGTCGAAACGTTTAGATCCTTATAATTTGTTATAATTGACCTAAACAATGTTTTGTTATAATATGTCAATAAACTAAGTACGTAAATCCAGCTTGGGCTCTGTAGCTTGTTTTTAATAATTTATTTGAATAATTTGAGCCAAAATTGTAATTTTTAAGTTGTTTAATTAATATTATTAACACACACTAAGGCTCAAAATTTATTAATAAAAAAAGATTTTTATCAATTGTTGATTAACAGCGTCGAATATTTTGCACATCGATCATTGTCTTTTTATTAATTTGTTTACTGACCTTTCTTATTGTGCAAATAATTTTATTTTTAAATAAATGTAATTTTTGAACACTTTTATTTTCCATTTTGTTGTATCATATGTTAGCCCGAACGAGCTATTGCACGAATTAAATTATATTCAAAATTATTTATTGTTATTTTTATTATGCAAATTTTTATAATTATTACACATGCAAAACAAAATTAAAAACAGAAATTACAAATTTGAAATAAATACAAAAAATTTAAGAATTATTTTTTTGTTGTTTTATCTATGTTAGTATAATTCTTACGTTAAAAGATGATACTTGCTTTTTGGCTAAAATGCGAAGATTGCAAGTTTATAAAATCTTGGATAAAAGTCCTGTTGGTTAAATTGTTTAGAAGACACTAATAACTGTTAACTATAGCTAATAACTGTTGCGAGAAACTGGGAATTAAACTGGTAATTTACAGAGAAACAAACAGAAACTAAACGTTCAGATACCTCTTCCGAAAGTATACTAAAGTCCTTCATATCGCGCTTCTCTATATATCCTCTTGTCCCTATTCAATAGCAAATTATAAAATATTCATAGGTAAGCCTTGAATTAGTTGCAGGCATTTTATGAGATACAAATTCTCAATGTCCTGAGAATGTCTTGAGGATGTTTTGTGCTGTATGGGTATGTATTTAAAAGCTGTTACAAATGCCTAAAAGAAAGAAGAAAAAAAAGATTATACTTTTCTGGCCATTACGCAATTAAACGGAATTTTACAAGCAGGTAGCATTGAGTCAGATAGGGGCGGGTCATCGCAGACTGATCGATAAGTTTTTGCATTTAAACATTTTTAAAATTTTTAAATAACAGCACACTACGCTGGAGCGTATATTGCGTAATTGCCTAGTAACGCCTCTGTATATATCTTATAAATAGTTTGATACATTTTAATTTGTTTC